TTTCAAAAAATATATGAAAATAAGATATTTTTGAAAATTAATATAGGATTGTTTAAGAAATATGCTTTAAGTTTGTTATTGTAATTGATTATTTGTTATTAATTTTCTCATTAAATTTTTTGTAAAATTTGGTTAGGACAATATCTTTGTCATATAGATTTTGTAGGAACTAAAAAAAAAATAAGAAATTGAAAAAGTATTTTTTGGCCAAAAAGGCAAAAATGTATATATAGATTAGATAAGCTAGGGTTTCCTAAAAAAAAAATCAATTTATGTTTTGTTAAACAACTAAAAGATACGTGAATTTTGGTATATATTTAGTTTTTGATATTATTGTTACAATAACTCTATTTGTTTTATAGGATTATTCAATGGAAAATATATTATTTTAAGATTGAGATATTCAATTTACTTGCCAAGGAAGATTGTTTAATTACTTGCTTTTTAAAAAGAAAACAATCTATAGTCAAAATCTCTAATAATTATGACGAATAATTTAATGTTTTTCCTAAAATAAAATTTTGAACCCCTAATGTACTCATCATAAACGTATAATTTAGATTCGTATAATTTAGATTTTACCATAATAGTTCCTAAAAAGTCTACAAAATTTTCAAATTATTATGTTAATTACCATAAAAAAATGTTTGTTACCATAAATATGGGTAGTTACGATTTAATTCCAAAAATATATGAAAAAGTAATATACGAAATTAATGTAGGATAAAAATCGGAATATGCTTTAAGTTCGTTCGCAAGATCTTGAGTTTTTAATGTTATCGGTATTTAGTATTCTTTTGTATTAACAAAAAGTTAGTGTTGATTCACATTTATTTACCCTTGTACAATTTTAAGCTTTTATTTACATATTGTTTAAAATAGAAGTAATTGAAAATTGGTTTAATTATGCATGAATTGGTTTGAGCTTTTTCGTTTACATTAAAAGTTTTGAGATTCTTGTGTTATGGGATACAGTCGCAGCTAATAATAAGCTAGATATATAGCTATTGTTTTTTTTTTTTGCTTTATTGAAATGACAAATCATTTTTTTTTTGATACAATCTCTCTCTTTTTTATCTAGGAAGTACAACACGTACTCAATAACCTACTACACACTACAGCCACCCTAGGACACTCATTCACCTGCTTTGGAACTGAAAAAAGATATCGACAAAGTAGAAAAACACACATACACATTGATGGGCCTTCTCACTAACATAGGCCCATAGACTTCATCTTCTTCTTCTTCGATACACCACGAAGAGTTTGTAAACGCATAACGCATCAATCAACGCATATATCATCAATCAAAAAAATAAAGGAGAAAGTTATTAAACTAAAAAAAATAATGACCAAAGAGAGATTTTCTCACAAATGATTTGTTCATGGCTCGCCTCATGTCCTCATGTCACCTTGCCCTTTGCCATATTTAAGGGATGACCATGTGATTATCTCATGGTTTTGCAAGACGGATCTCTCATGGTTTTGCAAGACGGATCTCAGCTTTGGTTGACAGTACTTCATATCTGCACCTCTCTGGTATTATCTGAATAAAACCCATGAAGACGGATTTAGTAAAAGTGTGCATGAAAACACCGTAATTTCTATGTCGAATAAAATATACCTTCTCGAACAATCTCGGCTGGAGATGATAAGCTTCCTCTCCGGCAACATCAATGACAACACTCAGCTGCACCAAAAAAAGCCAAGATAGATATCTCAACAATAGAGAGGGTTAGATTACAAATAGAGATAGGTTTTTCAGGAATGCAAATGAAGCTTCCATTTGGGAGATGAAAGTTTATTTTGCTGGATTTAGGAAAACGTTGTTTTGGAGTTCGATGATGTGAGAAGAGGCCAATAGCTTGAGTATTTATAGTGGTTTAAATTAGGTTACAAAGATCTTGGTGACCAAGCATAATATCTTTAAAATCATAACAAAATTGGAATAAAATATAGGTAATCGTTTACTAAAGGAATATGCCACTAAATTTGTGTTTAACAGTAGTAATTAGCTTGGATAGATAAGATTTTATGAATATTACGCATCAGAATTAAAGAATTAATTTTCCTAATTTAAACAATCGAATTAATGATTTATATTGTATTAATTATTTATGATAAGGTATGTGGAATAATCATTAGAAATTTAGATTTGATTTCGATTTTATTGTTTTATTAGTTTCCATTTGCTAGATATTCTCGATATTATGTTTAATAGCATTTAAAATTAAATATTTGATTTCTATATTTTTGAATATCAAATCGAGTTTACGAAAAATTAGGAAATGTTTTAAGAGTTTATTTATTTATTTGTAAATTTGATTAAGACATATATTTTTTCCAGATTTTATTTGTAGGGACTAAATGTACAATATTGAAATTGTAAAAGGATTTTTGAGGCCAAATCTTCACCAAAAATGTATATATAGATATTATTTTCTATCATTATGTGTTATCAATCGGAACCTCTACATGTAGAAAAGTCATCGCATCATATACAAGTTACTTAATTTAGTTTCTTTTACATATTGTGAAAAAACAAGTTATCCACACTCAAAACAAAAAGGTCTGCAAAATTTTGATTCCCCCCATAAGACAGAGTGGTCTATTACAATATGCCAATTTAATTTAAAAATCTATAAGGCCTCGCTACAAATGCATCCCATAACTCATTTTATCCTACACTGGTCCTCCATAATCTTCTTAGACATAAAAAAATTGATATACAAACTTCTTAATTTGATGTACCAATCGGCCCAATACTAAACCATTATTAATTTAAAAATATCCGAAAAATCAAAGTTGTAATCAGACCAAAATCCAGAACACAGTTTAATGTTCATGTATCAACCATTACACAAGATCTTTATCTGAAATTGTTTTGCATTCATAAACAACTTTAAACAAACGACAACTTTTTCAAGAAGAAGGAACAACAACAGTTTGCATCATGTTCTTGAATTCGAAAAAGTCAACGCGACCATCATGATTACTATCAACAGATACAATCATCTTCTCCACTTGTTCAATCTCTCCTGCTTCAGGTAGTCCAAGCTTCTTCAAAACCTTTTGTAATTCCACGGCGGAGATAAAACCATCTCCGTCTTCATCAAAAACATTAAAAGCTTCTTCAAGATCTGATTCCGGAGACCCGTCGCAGCAGCTTCCTTCTCCTCCAAAGAAAGATTCGTCTAGGGTTTTGTGGAGTGCAGCAAAATCATCGAACCGGAGTCCGGTTTTGTCCGGTTTGATGAAAGAATCAACGGTTGATTTGAGATCGGAGAAATCAGCTTCGAGACCGAGTCGTGAGAGTGCTTGACTTAGTTCTTCGACGGTGATGAATCCGTCGTTGTTTTTGTCGAATAGGTCGAAAACTCGGTGGAGACGGAGAGCGTTTAGACTTGGACTTCGGAGTCTGAAAGAAGAAGATTGTCTCGAGAGTTTCTTCTTCTCGTTATTGAACTCCATTGTTACTCTTCTTCTTAGTTGTTCTTGGTGACTCTGTTAATATAATCGGAGACTTGAGAATCTCGAGGCTTTTATTTTTTTCCCGAGACTAATCTGTTATTATATAATTAAAGACTTGGAATCACGAGGCGGAGACTAATTAAACAATTAATATATGACTGAAACAAGGAAATATTTTAATACTATAGAGCAAAGCTGATTATGGTCGAAAAGTAGTAATTTTTTGTTATTTAAAAAAAAAATTCCACATCATTACTATTAATTAGCTTCTAAATCTTCTAAACTGAACTTGCAAGAGTAAATGATGTGGAAAGCATTAGTAATGGTACCAACTTGACATGTAAGACTTTGTTCTCTTTGTTTAATAAAACAACAAATTATTTGTTATTTTGATGTTAAATATCGGTTAGAAATTTTCTGTTAACCATAACAACTACGTCGTTTTAATTTAGAAAAACATGTTAAACAACAAATATACATATATAGTTTTTAATCAAAACGATGTAGTGTGTGGTTTAACAGAAAATTTTAACGAAAATTTAATCCGCTAATTTGTTCCATCAGTCAGCTTAACAACGTATTTGGCACAGTTCAAGTGTTCAACAAAAGTTAGAGAATTATTGCATGCGTGGCAAAGTTGAGGCTTTAATCGGCAATATTTGAAAGTTGAGAATTTGTGACATTTTTCCAATATTCATTACACGACCAAGAGAACAAAGTCTTGCATGTCAAGTTGGTCCCAATACTAATGATTTTCCACTTCATTTCCTTTTGCAATTAAGACTGTGCATAAAATCCGAAATCCGAAATCCGAAAACCGAATTTTAATTCGGTTTCCAAAATTAAACTGAATAGTTATAAAATCCGAACGGATCATAAATTATTTTATCCGAATTAACCGAAAACCGAAAACATATCCAAAAACTTGAAATAAAATTATATATCCAAAAATATATGTTATATTTAGTTATAAATTTATACCCAAAAATATCAAATAACAAAAAATATTTGAAATAACCTTATATATCCGAAAACAAATTTCGACCATAATCAGTTTTTGTGCTGAATTGTTGATAGTACTAAATATGTCCCTGTTTTGTGCTGAATTGTTGATAGTACTAAATATGTCCCTGTTTTAACCATCGAGTATCAATTATTTAATTAGTTTCCATCTCGTGATTCCAAGTATATATATTTTTAATATGCTTTAAATATATTATTTAAATTATTATAGTTTACATTAATATTTTATACATTTATTTCACATTACGGTTTTATGTATGCACGTTCATATTAATGTTAAGATTTTAATTATATGTAAAAATTAATAATAGCTAAACATTCACACTATATTTTCTTAACTTTGAAAAAACAAATGCTTTTTTGTTCAAAAAAAAAAAGAAAAGACAAATGCTACAAAGACACGAAACCCAAAAAGCCCAATAACAAAAAATGTTGTTTTCCTTTTGCAGCCCATCTGTTTCCATTGGTCACTTCCATTGCAACCACAACCATATCTCGCCGCCGTCGACGACGACGACGACACTTGCTTCACCACCGTACCTGTTTCAACGGAGGAAAGAGACAAGAAGCGTTTTAACTTTCTCTTCTAACTCCATGGAGATTTGTGGCGTTGATTCTGAAGGGAAAGAGTTTAATAGTGCACAAGAGATGTGGAGAGAAGAAATTGGAGAAGAAGGAGACGAAACTAGAAAAACCCAATGGTATAGAGATGGTGTTTCTTATTGGGAAGTAAGTTTTTGAATCTTCTGATCTTAAAAACTTTACCTTTTCTTTGTTTTAGTGTAAAGTTCCTTAGATTTGATATGTGTGTATTGTGTTGTTATAAAGGGTGTTGAAGCATCTGTTGATGGAGTATTAGGAGGATATGGACATGTGAATGATGCTGATATTATAGGAAGTGAGGTTTTTCTTAAGACTCTTTTGCAAGAAAGATTAGTTAATGTTGGACCTAATCAACATTTAGTAGCTCTTGGTAACTCTTTTCTCTCATTGGTGTTTATTGGTTTTTTTTACTTATGTGTGTTCTTATGAATCACTCTAATCATTTGTAGATTGTGGCTCTGGTATTGGAAGAATCACCAAGAATCTTCTGATTCGATATTTTAACGAGGTGAAGTGTTGTTTTAGTGTCTGTTCTTCTCTGTTTTTGATTTCATTTGATAACCAATTTTGTGTTCTTTTGATCTTAGGTTGATCTTCTTGAGCCTGTAGCGCAATTTTTGGATGCAGCTCGTGAAAATTTGGCATCTGCGGGTTCCGAAACGCATAAAGCAACTAACTTTTTCTGTGTTCCTCTTCAGGTAATGTTCTTGAATGATCTCTTTGGGTTTCTTTATCTTTCTCTTTCTTGTCAATTCTCCTTCACCTTTGGGTTGTGAATGTTATGTAATCATAGGAGTTTACTCCAGCTGCTGGGAGGTATGATGTTATATGGGTTCAATGGTGCATTGGGCATCTCACGGACAACGACTTTGTTTCTTTCTTTAACCGCGCAAAGGTAAAGACTTTGTTTCTTTTGTTTCATTGCTCTATGTTCAGTTACTCCATTACTAGTCAAGTAAAATTTTAGTTCCTATGCACTCTGTTTTTGTTGCTTAATCTCATGTGATGTTCTTGGTTGATCTCAGGGATGCCTTAAACCAGGTGGGTTTTTCGTCGTGAAGGAGAATCTCGCTAAAAATGGTTCCTTTCGCTCTCTCTCTCTTTTGGACTCTCACTTTGATATTCTTATGATCTGATATATATGTTTTTTTCTGCAGGATTTGTTTTGGATAAAGAGGATCACAGCATCACCAGATCGGATCCCTACTTCAAAGAGCTCTTTCGCCAATGCGGGTTACATCTCTATAGAACAAAGGTTGAATACTTGAATTCTTGTCTGTGTTTTTAATCTTAATCCCGTAAAATTACGAACTCTTGGTTTAGAAATTTACAGTCTTTTCTCCAAAACCATAATTTCCAGGATCAGAAAGGTCTTCCACAAGAGTTATTTGCTGTAAAAATGTATGCATTAACGGTTGACACACCACCGAAAATCCACCGAACCAGATCAAAAACTACTAGCAACAGACCGCAGATTATCAAATGACAAAGTTTCTGATTGGTTTATAACAGCGTCTTAATCTTTTTGTTTAAAGAGAGAAGCTACCAAAGGTATTGTAAGATCTGGATCAAGGCTTGGCTACGATGTGTATTACCGCAGGAAAAGCTACCAAAGGAAGCACACTGTCACATGGTTTGGTTTTGTGCCCGCTCGATTCTCTTCTCTTCCATCACCTTCACCAAGTAATAAACTCTCATGTACTCATGGCTTGACTTGTTTCTCTGCCCATTCTGTTTCCTTATCTGATCATTGTCAGGACTTGAAGATATCATCTACACATTAGTTTAAAGCTTTGAAATCCAAATATTTTGTTTCCTTATCTTATTTGATCAATGCCCCAAGCTTATTCATCGACTCTTATTTTTGAAAAATATAATGTGTTACATTTTCATAAAACGTTTAATTAACCATCATTTATATGTATGTTCCATTCTAATAGTTCCTTTGCATGTATTAAATAGTCCTTAGGGCTTAGGCCATGTAATATATCCTTATCAATCAAAATATTGTCTAAAATTAAACATACTAAAAATAAAGGCAAATTGTGTGTTTTGGAATTAATTTAGGAAATACGAGTTTCAAACGTAGGCTTAAAACCTTCAATATGATTTTGTTCCCTACATTACAAAGATTTATAGGCCTGAACTTTGACGTATGAATCCGTCTTTCCATCGTAAGTATTCACAAACATATATTCGCAACCTTTGATCAAAAGCTCCTATTGTCATAAAAAAACACTCTAGTTGACTAATTTTATTTAAGTCATTGTAGTTTTACGCTCAAATGATCAAAGTTATTAGACCACAAGCAGTGGTACACTCTTTACCCGAGTGTGAGTAATTTTAAAACAAAAAATATTGCAAAAGTTGGAAAAGTTACACAGTTCGAGTGTGGGATAACACCCGAATGTGAGCCACGTGGGAGCATTTGGTTGGTAAGCTCTTCTTCTCTCTTCTTCACACTCCCTATCTCTCTCTCTTCTCTCTCTCTTTTATTATATTAATATAAATTTATTAACATCTATCCCTACAAATACACCACTGCTGATGCCCTTAGTGTTTGGGTAGTTTTTTTTGAATTGTTTTAGAATTCAAGTTGAAATAAGCAATGTAACTCAAATCTAATCCCATGTCTCATTTTATCCCAAAACAAAAAATGTCTGCAAAATTGTTTCATCCCATAACTCATTTTATCCCAAAACAAAAAAAAATGTCTGCAGTATTTTGTTCCCGTGAAGAAGACAAGGAGAAGGAGTGGTCTATTACAATATGCCATATATATGCATCCCATAACTCATTTTATCCTACACTGGTCCCTCATTATCTTTTTAGAAATAAAATATGACTATACGAACACAAGTAAAATCCATGGGTAACATGTACAAGAGTAATGAAAAAGGTGAGTTACGCATTCGTAGTTACGTTAAAACCATCTTTAAATCATTGCTATAGTTTTTAACATATTGAGGCATTTTTATTGATGAATTAGGGACCAAACATTAAACGATGAAAATTGAATGTCAAAAAACGTAGGTTGTAAGGAACGCTACTAGTTGGTAGGTCGCGTCTTTTTGTACCAAAAGCCATGTTTTTAGGGCTTGTTATGTTGTTTTGGGAAATTATTCAAGAATGTTATATTTTGTAGAATACTTTTCTAAAATGCCATATATTAAATTTCCTTTCCGAGAATACCAAAAATATGCCATATAGAAGTGTTGTCTTTTTAACTCATCTATATGGCATTCTCAAAAAGGAACTGAATTCTTTGTGGCATCCTTGTTAGTTTTCTCTTTTTTTCTTTATCATTTAACCATTGTTAAGATTTTCACACTTTATCTAAATATTTTTCTATTTGAGTATTTGTAAATAATAGCAAGTTTTTTTTTAATTCACCTAGCATGTTCCTTTTTATTTTATATTTCTAATTTGATTCGTCAAACTAAATTTCAAATTTATTCTTTACCCAAAACTAATTTTTTTTCGAATTTTAAACAATTTTAATTTGTTTGAAATCTGTCAAATTAATAATATCGATTGATGAGCTAAATAATTACGGTTCAAACATCATTGAACTTATCTTCAAGGAAGGGGAGTTTAGTGCTCAGGAGATAGTAAAAAGGGCAAGGAAGGATGCAGAGGAATGGAAGAATAATTCACAAGGCACATAGGTGGAGCACTGAGTGATATGGGCTGGATATTATGGAATCATGAAGGCAGATGGATTGGAGCAAGAGAAATCCCGAGGACAAGGACAATGATTGAGACATAACTTGAAGCTTTGATATGGGCAGTCTTGTTTGTTTTCAGGTATGAGTACATATTGGTGAATTTTGAATCTGATAGTCGAGTTACAACTTACACACCAAAGAGGATGAGATGTATATGGCCCAATCTTATCCGGTACTGCAATATATATAGATGACGATGGTATTTTGACCAAGACATGGAAATGGAGTGGCTGACATAATAGTGAAATAATATATATTTTTTTTTTGAATTATGACTCTAAATTGTAATATATTGTGTCAAATTGGGTTAAATGCTATGTTGAGAAATAACTTGTGATGATGTTGATTTGGTTAATGCAAAGTAAGTTGAGCCAACAAATACAATAATGATAATTGCGGTTGAAACTAAAGACACATATTGGCCTACTCGTATTATTGATTATCTTATAACTGATCATGATGCATTCATTCTCATGACTCGTCATTCATGTATATTATTAACCAACATTGAAACTAATGTTTTCATTACCTATGCCTTTTTATAACTCCTTTTTGGGCACGATTACATTTTGGGTTAATTAGATAGATAGCCAAATTTCGGTTCAAAAATAATAATAAAAATATGAGTAGCAAAATCGTATTTAAGAAAGATACTTTTTTTTTGCTGAAGTTTTTTTATAAATAGTTAACATTTTATCCAAAATATATTTATTTTCTTACAAATAGTAGATTTCTGAGAAACTTTTTTATGAAATTTTCGTATTAACAAGAAAAAAAACAAAAAAATTCCCTCTACAAATTTCGTGAAAACTCTGTTAAAACTTGTACGTTTTACTTTTCTTAATTTTTATAATTTATGGTTTTCTTTCTCCACGTCAAAACTATGTAGGGTCGAGAAACTTTGTCCCTATAAAATCACTCAATCTCCACACTCTCTCACACTACCATCACCTATCTTAGAAATGGAGTTCTCAAGCTTTTTGTTCACTCTTTTACTCTTTTCACTCAATATTTCTCCTCTCACTTCTCTTGTTTCAGCTCATGGCACTAACCATGAAGACTTTCTTAAGTGTCTTTCTTACCAGATGAACCACAACACCGTCGAATCCAAAGTCATACACACTTCCAAAGACTCTTCTTTTTTTTCCATTTTGGATTCTTCCATACAAAATCCAAGATTCTCGGTTTCCGAAACACCTAAACCGGTCTCAATCATAACTCCGGTTAAAGCCAGTGACGTTCAAACCGTGATTAGATGTGCACGGTTGCATGGAATTCATGTAAGGACTCGGAGCGCCGGTCACTGCTACGAAGGTCTATCTTACATTGCGTACAACAAACCATTCGTTGTCATCGATATGCGGAATCTTCGGTCTATATCATTAGACGTTGATAACCGGACCGGTTGGGTCCAAACCGGAGCAACGGCTGGGGAATTGTATTATGAGATTGGGAAAATCACCAAAACTCTTGCTTTCCCGGCCGGTATTCACCCAACTGTCGGCGTTGGGGGACAATTTAGCGGTGGAGGTTATGGCACATTGCTAAGAAAATACGGTTTAGCTGCGGATAACATAATCGATGCACTTGTGGTCGATGCGAGTGGGAGGATTCTTGACCGACAAGCAATGGGCGAGGAGTACTTTTGGGCGATTCGTGGAGGGGGCGGATCAAGCTTTGGCGTTATACTATCGTGGAAGATTAAATTAGTCGATGTTCCATCTACAATAACAGTGTTTAAAGTCAAGAAAACATCGAACAAAGAGGCCGTTAGGATCGTCAACAAATGGCAATATGTTGCTGATAAGGTTCCTGATGATCTTTTCATTAGGACAACATTGGAGAGATCAAACAAAAACGCAGTACACGCTTTGTTCACTGGACTTTATCTCGGTCCCGCAAACAATCTATTGGCGTTGATGGAAGAAAAGTTTCCGGAATTAGGTCTTGAGACTGAAGGTTGCAAAGAGATGAGTTGGGTTGAGTCTGTACTCTGGTTTGCTGATTTCCATAAAGGAGAATCTCTTGGTGTTCTTACGAATCGAGAGCGTACATCTCAATCTTTCAAGGGAAAAGATGATTTTGTCCAAGAACCGATACCCGAGGCTGCAATTCAAGAGTTATGGAGGCGATTAGACGTCCCCGAGGCTCGCCTTGCAAAGATCATATTAACTCCATTTGGTGGGAAAATGAGTGAAATCGCAGAGCACGAAACACCATTCCCACATCGAGAAGGGAATCTCTATGAGATTCAGTATGTTTCTTACTGGAGTGAAGAGGAAGACAAGAACATAACGGGGACAAATAAATATCTGAAATGGGTCGATAGCGTTTACGAACATATGACTCCATATGTTTCGAAATCTCCAAGAGGAGCTTATGTCAATTTCATGGATATGGATTTGGGTATGTATCTTGGAAAGAAGAAGACAAAGTACGAGGAAGGAAAGAGTTGGGGAGTGAAGTACTTCAAGAACAATTTCGAGAGATTGGTGAGAGTTAAAACGAGTGTTGATCCAACAGATTTCTTCTGCGATGAACAGAGCATTCCTCTGCTGAACAAAGTTACCTGAAGATATCATTTGAAGTTTTTTTTATGAGTCGTTTATTTTCTCTGTGAAATCATCTGTGTGTTGAATAATTATGCTTCAAGTGTGTAACTTATATGTGTGATTGTGATTTATGTGTGTTGAATAAACTTTTCATGATTGACGTGTGCAAGACTGCAAGTAAAACAATTTCTTCAAGCGCAAGCAACTGAGGCTAAATAAAAAAAACAATTACTAGAAACAAAGATTAGGTGTTTAATCCTATCGTTATTAAACCAAAGTTTCTTCGAGAAACCAATCTCGAAAGTCGAAACCCTAATGGAATATTAACATTAATTTGATAGTTGAACAAAAACAGAGGTTAGATGTTTTGACTTACCTGTTCGAATCGTCTTCCTTTATTTGGTCTTAGATTTATGGTCAATCTTAATTGATTTAGTTTTAATTTGAATCATCTATGTGTGTTGAATAATTATGATTTATGCATTGAAAACACCACAAGTTAACTATTAAGTACCCTGGTCTACCATGCCCAAAGTTCTTAAAAACACTACTCACTAATGCTCGCATGTTAACAAAAATAGACCAAGCATGATTCTTTACACAATCATGGTAGAATTGATAAAAAAAAAAAGATCTAAAAACAACTTCAAATTGCATAATTTTAGTTTATTTTAAAATTTTATTTTGATAGCTAGGAGATAAATGAACCGTCAAGTCAGTTAGCTAATCATAATTGAAAATTCGAAATGGGCTTAGATTTAAGTTGTGCAAATATGTAAATTTTTTTTTTTTTTAAAAGCCTTAACTTTCACAGATGATACATCTTATTGGAGAAATAATTTTTAAGAAAATATATATACTATCTAGTTTGAGAGAAAAAAATTATAAATAAACTGGTGATATGATTATCATATCGGAAATTTTTTTGCGACTCAAGCAAATGGTCAATCATAGTATTTTTGAGGTTCTAGTTTCCTCTTCTACCTTTATAATCTCTCATGCAAAGAACGTCGGAAAAATATCTGCAAATCACTACAACTTATGTTACTATGACTTGGGTCAAGATTTATCTTGTACAAGTCCAATTAACCAGCAGCCCATGTGGACAATCGAACTATCTCAAATTAAGCCAACGCAGCCGCCCACTTAGGTTTCATTAGATAGATCAGGCAGCCTTTCATATGCAAAGATAAGTGGTGGAGAAACTAGCCATCAACTATTGATTAGTCAACATCTTATCTACTATTATTAGCTATTTACGATTTAATATCTACTAGATTGCAGTCTGTTTCTATGTGGGGTTCACTTGATGACATGTAAAAGACTAACTCTTCATCAGTTCACTATAAATAGAGGTTGATCTTAAGCTTATTTCTTCATACTACCCATACATACATTGCAAACCAAAAGTAATAGTCATGGCTAAGTCTGCTGCCATCTTCACCTTCCTCTTCGCTGCTCTTGTTCTCTTTGCTGCTTTTGGTGAGTAATGAACTTATATAATTCTCATATGCATGAAAAAAACTTTTTTTTTTCCTTTTTAGCCTGATTGATAATTAACAAGGGATATATGTATATGCAGAAGCACCAACAATGGTGGAAGCACAGAAGTTGTGCGAGAAGCCAAGTGGAACATGGTCAGGAGTTTGCGGAAACAGTAATGCATGCAAGAATCAGTGCATTAACCTTGAGGGAGCAAAACATGGATCTTGCAACTATGTCTTCCCAGCTCACAAGTGTATCTGTTACGTCCCATGTTAATCTACCAAAGATCTTAATTAATTTGGTGCTTAATCGTGTGTGTATTTTACTTAAAATAAGTCTGTGTCACTCTGTGAGTGACTTTATGACATCCATGTTTATGTTTTAATGGTTGGTTTGGGTTTGTCGTTATAATAATACTAGATCATAACCCCTGCTATAGCACGGGTGTGAATTTTTTTTTATAAAATTAAAATATAAATTGGGTGATATAATCCACCCCCAATCAGAGATATAATCCATGGAATATGAAGAGATTGATGATTTTGTTTTTTGTGTTTTAAGAGTGAGTTAGAATAATGAGGCTTATGCTCCCTATATATAAAGATAAACGTTTATTGCTTTTCTTCTTTGATTCAGAATAGATAATAATGATAGATTTTGCTCATTCTCCCAATGCTATGAAGAGAAACGTATCAGCTTCAATTCAGAGAACGTAATGATGAATGTTTCATCTTGCACCTTTCTTTTATGACTTTTAATTTCTTTTATCTTTTAAAAGGGTTTATGTTATACGATGGTTGAGTGTTGTTGTTTAGGATAGGTTGGTTAGATTTTATTGTTTAGGATATCTTCTTAAACCCATTTTAAAACCTATTGACCCGTTTTTGGTTAAATGGATAGTGTGCTAATTGTCTTTAATAACCTTAATGAATTTGTTCTAAAATAAGCTTTTTGTAATGGCATTCACATGTAAGTTTTTTACAAAAGAGAAGGTTAGTTAAGGGTTTTTTTATAAAGTGTACTCCCCAAATAATAGTATAGGATATAAAAAAAGTTACGTATAACGTTGGACTGTTTCTTCATGTCCCATTTTTGTCTACAATAAGATCACTAGGTTTTTTTTTTATCAAAAAAGAAAAACAAGCAAAAGAAACACATTTCACGACCAAATAAAAATCATGAATTTTAAACACTAAATCTTAATTAAACTATAAAAATTAAATCTAAACGAAAATTTTTATCCTCATTCCAAAACAAAAGTTCTAAGCCCTACAAAAAGATGTATTTAATTTAAAATAATTAGTCTATACTTTTAAAAATTTAAATTTGATCTCTTATTATCTTCAGTTCCTTTATGAATTTTGTTTAGTTAGTTAAAATTTTCAGTTGTTTTGTTGAATTTAGTTGTTACGAATTATACCTTTAGCTAATCTACCAATTTTGATGACATTTAACGCTCATGTTTCTTTTTAATAAGCCTCTTAGTTAAGCAACCAATTACGTCGATAGTCCATTACGTTCAAGGCCACGACCAACTATGTAGTTTGTTTATCCATAGCCAACAAAGCTAACTTTTCAGTTCCTGCCCTCTCCATTCCTCCAGCGCCAATCGTCTCCTTCTGATGGTTTGAAACCTACTGTGGGCGCGAGCAACGCATTGAATCATCTAATTTTCGGTTATAGGTGTTTCACAGTGAAATATAAATGGCGAAACTTCGCGAGCGGTTCCTTGTTCTGCAAACTTGGCGGAACGATGTTGCTCTTGAGATCAACCAAAGCATGTCGTCATGTGGATAGTCCACTACGATTTGTATGTCTAGGGGAGATGCTCTAATCGGAAAATTCGACCACTTGGTTTAATCTGATCGCTCTGCTCATACTGTTTAACCTTTCAGGATGACATGATCTGTGCGCAAAGAAATATCTTACACCGTGTTACTTCCGCGGTATTTACTCGAGGACGGTCAGACTACGAACTACACTTGTCCTAACTGTGAAAATCTCTGACATATCAATATAGTTGTGTAACTAAGGCTTGATTGGTTAAGATCTTACATATTAGCTAAAAAAAAATAACCATGCTTGGTTAAGATCTTATTTCCTTGAGCCTTGCCAGATTAACCAGCCGCCCATGTGAACGATGTAGCATTAGCTAAAAACCAAAGCAGCCGCTTAGGTTGCATTATATATGGACAGAGAAAAACATGTGGTGGAGAAACCAGCCATCAACTATCTTATCTTTTGATATTAGCTACGAGAAGACGATGTGTGTTTAATTTGTGGGGCTACCACGTTATTGTACGATGCACAAGTGGAAGATTAACTCACATTAATTTCATTATAAATAGAGGTTGATCTTAAGCTTATTTCTTCACACAACACATACATCTATAAATTGAAATCAAAGTAGTAATAATTAATTTGATACCAAAAAAAAGTAGTAATAAACATCATGGCTAAGTTTGCTTCCATCATCACCCTTATCTTCGCTGCACTTGTTCTCTTTGCAGCTTTAGGTGAGTAATGCTTTTATCATACAAATAAAAATGTGTGTTAAATATAATTTTAATTTATATGATAATTAATCCTGGGAGATGTATATATCCATTTGCAGAAGCACCAACAATGGTGGAAGCACAAAGGTTGTGCGAGAAGCCAAGTGGGACATGGTCAGGAGTTTGCGGAAACAGCAATGCATGCAAGAATCAGTGCATCAACCTTGAGGGAGCAAAACATGGATCTTGCAACTATGTCTTCCCAGCTCACAAGTGTATTTGTTACGTCCCATGTTAATCTGCCAATGATAATAAATAAGTCTGTGTCACTCAATGAGTGATTTTATGACATGCATAATTATGTTTTTATGTTTGGTTTCGCTTTTTGTTATAATTATATTAAAAAAATTACGTACCACGTAAGACGACTCTTTCTTGTTCTCCATATTTTGCTAAAACAGGACCACTGAATCTTTATTCTTCTTCTTCATGTGATCATGTCCCACATGTTCCTTTCAAACTCTTGTTCGAAACATTGAACCATTTAATTTTCTTGAGAGTCTTGACCAAGTCAAATTAACTGGTCGCTTAGGTTACATTTGGTAGAAAGGCATCCCGATATGTGGTTGAAAAACCAGCCATCGACGGTTCAGCATCTTATCTGCTATTATGTCCTACTTGCAAATTAATATCGTCTACTAGAACATGGTATATGTGTTTACTCTGTGAGTTATTGGCAAGTAAAATACTAACTCACCACCATTTCATTTCCCACCCCGTTGTTAATTCAGTCACTCATAAAACTAGGTTTAGATTATTATTTAGGATCCTATCCATAAATAGGATATCCGCAGCGGTTGGATTTGGATCCTTCAAGATTGGATGTAGATCGGGATAAACGAATTTTGTGAATTTAAGGTCCAGATCCGGATTTTGAACCATTGAATTTACTAAAATTATATTCAAAATCTATATTTATTTTGCATAATACTCTATATATGTATTTTTGATATAAAATAAGATGTAAAAATTTGACTTTATGGAAGTCATGGATCCGGAAAATTGTAGCACGAATCCGGATCCAAATTTGGGTATCTAGAAATCTCAGGATATCTGGATCCGTTACAGCCGTAAATGAAACTGCAATGTCGTGTAGTACTAACCTGCTCCGTCTTCTAACTAAAGCACTTGTGTGGTTTCGAGCACACGCTATAGCAAGGCTCTAGGGAAGCCTCAACCCGACTTCTTCACACATCATAAAAGTGGAGAAGATTTCTTTTCTTCTAACGCAAGCAATGAAAACCTCGTTTGCTTGGTGTGGCTTCTTTTATTGATCTGAAAAAACATTGATGATATTGATCTTCTTTTGGCCAGCAAAATTGCTAGTCTAGGATTATTGTGAAGATGGCGATGATGGTTTGTGAACGTGGTGAAGACGGCATTGTTATCGCAATTTCGTTATTTTTTATAACCGTGAGTTTTATCAAGTCGATGGTATGCTCACCATGGGCGGATCTACATAGTGGAAGAGGGGGGCAGCTGCCCCCAGTAAAAAATCAATTTTTTTTGTATTTTCATTAATTTTAGTAAAGATTTATTAAGTCAAATGGTAGAATAAAGCAACTTGCCACCCCTTAAACCATGATCATATCCCACGATGCCCCTTCTTTTTTTTTTTTTTCATTTTCATTCCTTTTTTACTTATTTTCTTCCCTAATCTTAGCATTAATTGTTTATCTTTCCTATTCTAGACTTAGTATTTCCAAAATCAATATTATTTTCATTTTGTTTAGATTGGTTTTTCTTTTCTTATTTAGCTTTCTCTTAAATATCTTTTTAATGTAGAATTTTTATCGGTTTATTTCGAAACAATGTTTATAATGTAGCAATATTAAAAAACTAAAAAAGTATATAATGAATTACTTTTTTATCTCGAAAAGTCGGTATAGTACTTTGCCCCCGGTAAAAATATTTTCTAGATCCGCCACTGATGCTCACATGATCTTCTTAATGATGATGTTTATGATACTTATTATGATGGTCATGAGACATTGATAACGACTTCAACGATGCAGTGGAGTTAATGATGATGGTTTATGAACATGAACCTATTGATAGGTTTGTTCAGTTTCTGATCGTGATTTTTTTCTCGCATTCGTGAGTCTGAGATCTCCTTTTAATCAACTTATCATCCTCGAGAATTATTCTTTTATATCGCAATCCTGAGTTACTTTTTAATCTCACAATCGCGACCTACTTTCTATTCATTCTTTAACAATCATAATTAACATCGTCCATTACTTTTACGAGAATCATCTGTTATAATTCTTTCACAATACTTTTGTGTTTTTACTCTCATCATCCGTACACACGCCAATACAAGGAAAAAACGTGTACCCTCCAAAAATGACTTAGTTAAACATTTGATAGGTTTTATTAGGACTACCAAAGTTCTACCAAGATCGACGGTCATGATGATTGCCCTAAAATATGGAAATCATGAATATGATTGTTGAAGAATCAAGAAGAATATGGAAGATGTTAATTATGAAGTTTAATTAATAATTACCATTGTTTCTAAATGTATAATTTCATCAATCATAACTTTGGCACTCAGTCATTCTATTGACCATAGCTAAGTTACTTAAACACTAGAATTCTCTTCGCCAAAATCCCACATTCTTCGAATCAGATCATACGGTTCATTCTTGTTGACATTGAAAACACTGACTCGCAGTTTATCCGCGACCAGTCGACTATTCACCTCGGAGCATGACCAGACCCATTTCCTATAGAGCTTTAAGGGTTACCTTTAAATCTGCCACCAACAGACATTGACTGTGTTTGAGAAGTCAATGAATTACTGGAATTGATGTATAATATTCAGTTTAATTAACTCAACTACTCTTACCCAGTTATTACTTCACTAAGCCAATATTCAATTTTCCACCCAAACTTTCGGAAAAATGGGTAAAAAAACCCTCACCTTTCTTAAAAACATAGAAAAAACTCTCAACTTTTTTTGTGGGTTTTTAAACCCCCACCTTTTCATAAATGGTAAAATAAACCCTAGTATTAATAATCTTAATTTAAATTAAAAAAAAACGATATACTAAAACATAAATAAATATAAACAATTTGATTTATTGTTTCTTCTAAAATTCTAGCTTACAATATTTTTCTAAACTGAAAATATGAAAGTCATGATGTAAAAAATTTAATTAGTAAAGTTTTATTCGGTGTGTTACAAAAATTCATCAAGGTGAAACCAAACAAAATCGTGATAAACCCTCAATTCGTAACAAAATCTGTTTGGTTTCACCTTGATGAATTTTTGTAACACACCGAATAAAACTTTACTAATTAAATTTTTTACATCATGACTTTCATATTTTCAGTTTAGAAAAATATTGTAAGCTAGAATTTTAGAAGAAACAATAAATCAAATTGTTTATATTTATTTATGTTTTAGTATATCGTTTTTTTTTAATTTAAATTAAGATTATTAATACTAGGGTTTATTTTACCATTTATGAAAAGGTGGGGGTTTAAAAACCCACAAAAAAAGTTGAGGGTTTTTTCTATGTTTTTAAGAAAGGTGAGGGTTTTTTTACCCATTTTTCCCAAACTTTCGCATGTTTTCTTCTTTTTATCACAAATTTCACTGGTGTTCCTTTTTTATCGCATTTATTTGATGTTTTTCCGGAGTATAATTCTTTTATGTTATGAATAAATTGTAGGAGAGCTTTATCCGATCCCCTACCAACTACCAAAAAAAAAAATGTCAGTGGTGTCTCCAATTATTCGTGTTTTAATAATATAAAGACGATTACAAATGTGATTGTTATGATAGCTTATTGAGTGCCCATTTTGTAAAGAGCCCATATGTTATGCATAAGAATATAAATTATACAAAAATATCCTCCACTCATGTGTGTTTTAATTATGTAAAGATGGTTTTGGGGTATACTAATCCCGTGATTCACGGATATATTGCAATTGTAATGTTTCTTTAGTTCCCATTTCACAATTGAGTAGGGTTAATTCTTTGTAAGTTAACCATTAGGCCTTTTAGCTTTGTAACAAATTTTCTTTCTTATGCAATCAATAGCAAATCCTTTATTATAAAAAAAAAGTTGTAACTTCTAATCAACAGAATTAATACAAACTATAGAGGGAGAGGCTAAAGGGAATCACCTCAAATTTCTTGTTTACACTCTAAAGTTGTTTCTTGTTTACACTCTAAAGTATTCAACTCCGAAAAAAAGGTAGGAAGGTTGTGGAGACAGACAAAGAAATGGCTTCTTCGATTTACTTGGAACAGTTTTGGCTTCACAAGTCTGTAAGAATATATCATCAATCTAAATTGCCCTTGTTTTTACTTTTTTTTTCTTTTTCTTTTGAAACTACATAAGTGGCTTTCACAAAAGCTACTTTTAGAACTGAAAATATTCACAGCTTTTAAAATAAAAAAAAAGTTAAACTTTCCCAAAACACTAAGGTGGCTATTATATTAATGTTATATCATGACATTACTAATACGATGTGAATCATGTGTTCCTAAACACTATATAATACAAGTAGAGAGGAATCAAGATACACACTAATTTTCATCAAAACACAGATAATTGTTGTTGTGAACGAAAATGGAAACGATATTATTAATATCTCTTTGTGTAACGACATTCTTAGCTCTTATGTTCATAAAATCACGATCCAAACGAACCACCACAAAATTGAACCCACCACCGTCTCCATGGCGGCTTCCAGTGATAGGAAACCTTCACCAGCTCAGCCTCCACCCTCACCGCTCCCTCCATTCCCTCAGCCTCCGCTATGGACCGCTCATGCTCCTTCACTTCGGTCGTGTCCCCACCCTCGTAGTCTCATCAGCCGACATGGCTCATGACGTCATGAAAACAAACGATCTTAAGTTCGCTGACCGCCCCAAAAGGAAAGCTGTTTCTACGTTTCTGAATGGTGGGCGAGATGTGGCCTTTTCCCCTTATGGAGAATCTTGGAGGCAATTTAAGGTGTGACGTTTTACGTAATTTTTTGTGAAAAAAAAAACAAACTTACATATATCTTGTTGACCAAAAAAAAGAAAACAATAAAGTTACATACATCTAAAGTTTTTATCGTAATTGTAATTAACAAACACATATTTTAAATCTCCATGCAGAGTATATGTGTTATGCATCTCCTCAGCAAAAAGATGGTTCGGTCGTTTGAGAAAGTAAGAGAAGAAGAGATAAACGTAATGATGGAGAAGGTGGAGAAGGCAGCTTCTTCTTCATCACCGTTGAACCTAAGTGGGCTTCTTTCGAGTTTGACAAGCGATTTGATATGTAGAATTGCATTGGGAAGAAAATATAGTAGTGACGGCGAGGAGGTTTGTAATACATATAATGTTAAGGAAATAGTCAGAAAGACTATGGAGCTCTCAGGATCTTTCCCGCTTGGTGAATACATTCCTAGTTTGGCATGGATAGATAAGATATGTGGGGTGGATGATAAAGTAGAGGAAGTAAGTAACAAGATTGATAGTTTTCTTGAAAAAGCAGTGCAAGAACATGTAGAGGATCATGCGGACAAAGAGAGGTCAGATTTTGTTGATATACTTGTCTCGATTCAGAGAGACAAGACTATGGGATTTGAGTTTGGTAATAGCGAGATAAAAAATCTCATTTTGGTAAAGACCACTCATGCATTCTTTTGCTTTACTTTTAATTTTCTTTTGTTACTTCCATAATTCTTTATTTTTTCTTTTGTAAGGATGTGTTTCTTGGGGGAACAGCAACTACATTCACGCTACTAGAATGGACAATGACGGAACTTATGAGACATCCAGAGTGTATGAAGAAACTCAAAGATGACATATACTCCGCTTCGACGACAACCGCTAAGTTATATGTATCAGAAGAAGAAGTTGCAAATATGAAGTACTTAAAGGCTGTGATCAAGGAAGTGCTACGTTTGCATCCTCCAGTTCCAATAATTCTCCGAGGATTATGTGAAGATGTCAAATTAAAAGGATATGATATTGCTGAAGGAACATTGGTAAAATCATATCTACCTTAAATGTTTTTTTTTTTATTATTAGATATAAATATCATTCTAGATTTTAAAAACACCTACAGGTGATAATCAATGCTTGGGCAATCCAACGAGACACCGAAACTTGGGGAGCGGATGCAGAAGAATTTAGGCCAGAGAGGCATTTAGATTCACTTGTGGAGTTTGAAGGACAAGATTTCATGTACATACCATTTGGATCAGGAAGAAGGCGTTGTCCCGGAATAAGATTTGGATTGACTATGGCTGAGGTAACACTGGCCAACCTTGTGAAGCGGTTCGACTGGAGAACTAATGTGAAACCACTAGGAGATGATAAGCCTGATCTAGCTGAAGCAACCGGTGTTGATGTTTGCCGCAAGTTTCCTCTTGTTGTCTTCCCATCATGTGCTTTATTTTCCATGTGAGAGACTTTATTGTTTTAGACAGGCATTATTCGAAAAATCAAAGCAATCCTGTGTAAAACATAAGTAATGTGTTTTTTTTTTTTTATCTTGTGTCTCTAACAAATCCCATTCTTAATGATTTCGGAATGAGTGTCATCGTTGGTTCTGCTAGCCCCAAGTTTCATAAGAAAGTCTCATAGTTTGGTTGAGGTTCGATTTGTTCATCATAACTCAGTTCAATTCACGTCGGTTCGCTTTATGTGTTCACATGTGTACAAAAATGAAAAAAAACCAATAATCTAATATTCTTGTAATCACATAATATACAAGATCTATCCGAAATTTTTTTGCATTCAAGAAGAACTTTAAGAGAGAATAATATGTTGTAAGTTCTGATGATAACGTACGTAACCAAGAAAAAAAAAATACTTTTGAGATGAATACCCTTTTAATCTCTGTGGTTTCTGTTATTAGACGAGTGAATACTAAGATCACTTTTGTGATTGATGTCTTGCAAGAGGTTTCCTAGGAAAAAGATTATTGGACCTACCTGATACTGAAGTGTGTTATAAATTAAAATATTATGATTATTAGTGTATTGTTATTAGATTTTAGTGAAATAATTAGCCAAAATCATTTTTTGACTCCCTAAAATATTAAAATTTACACTACAAACCTGTAAATTGTTAAAAAAAATTATATTATAGAGAATTTATAGTAACTAGCCATGGATTCAAAAAGAATTAAGAAAATAGCCATGAGCTACAGTACTTTGTCTGTTGGATGTCGGAAAGCACGTGTAATTACACACATACCCTTTATAACATGTTTTTTCCTCGAATTACATGTGATAGAATAATATATCTCTTTTTATCATATTATTTTCCGGTATTACACGTTATTTATAAAGAGCACATGATATTTTTTGAAAAAAACACTCTATTCAGTTTAATATCTTTCTCTGTCATGTTATTTTATAGTAATACACGTTTTTTATTATGATCACATGTGATTTCTTTAAAAAAAGATTCTTATTTTCTAGTAATTCACGGTTTTTATTAAGATCACATGTTATTTCTTTGAAAAAACACTCTATTCAGTTTAATATCTTTCGCTATCATGTTATTTTGTAGTAATACACGTTTTTTATTATGATCACATGTGATTTCTTTAAAAAACGATTCTTATTTTCTAGTAATTCACGGTTTTTATTAAGATCACATGTTATTTCTTTATAAAAAGATTCTATTCAAGTTTAATTTTTCCGTAACAATGTTTTTTTAAAAAAAAAAACACTACGTAACAATATTTTTTCTTAAAAATTCACTACGTTTTTTTAAATAGCATGTATTTTAGTTAAATATAACATGTGAAATTTAGATCTTACGTGCTATTTTGAAAAATATCACGAAACAATGTCGCCTACTGTAGATCTCAAAACAAACGGAGGATGGTTTTGTTATTTCACCTTTTCAGACAAGGTGGGTCCATGTTGTTTTCCGACAGAAATTTCTCTCTCTGCTAGTTTCTTAATTTATGTGTCAAATTTGGCTAGTTAGTAATATTACCCTATATTATAACCCCTGTAATATAATACGAACTTGATTAACGGGGATCGGAGTATATACAATATTTATGCGTTCTTTATATCATGTTGTATGGAATTTAGACTTGCTAGAGATCTTATCAATTGCCTTTTTTTTTTTGGACACATATCTAATCAATTGTCTTTGTAACCAAAATTAGTGCTTAGTTTGAAAAGATCGACTAAAATCTCGTTAAATCTATATGTCGTTCCATTTATCGTTTGGACATATTTTTTCCCATCTACATTTGAATTATGATATTTTTTTTATCTCATAATTTCAAAATTCGAAAGTCGTTGCCACCATCTTAAGCTACTTCAGAATCTTTTGCAATTCCAAGACTCAAATCAAATACATTGAAATTTTTTTCCATTTCTGATTTCTAAGATTTGTCGTCCCTAATAGCATTTAATAAATTATTATTTATTTAATAGTATGTATTGATTTGCGATTTACCAAATTATTTCTATAGCACCATCTTTTATTATTTCTATAGTTTATATGGTTTCATTGAAACTTATGTCACTTCTACGTGATTTGATTTATAATAAAGCATAAATGTACCAAAGATCAGATGATAGTGTATCTTGCATCACGTGTTTTGGTACCAAACAGATGGTTATCATGACGACAATACATATATTTTAAAAACATAATTATTACAGTTTATATATTAGGTGTTCCATTTAATATAAATATAAGAGTAATCCATAAAGAAAGGTCCACAAGGACAACATTTTTTTAATACGTAATAAAATATTTCTGTGACGTTAACAATATTAAAATGTTAAGGGGAAAAGAATTGGTATTTATTTATTATTATTATATTTATTTATTTTTAATTTAATTTTCAAAATTAATCTAATTATTAAAATAATTAAAGAATTTAATATTTTATTAAATTCGTAGGAAATCCGTAATAAACTCGTAATATCTTTTTGGTAAGAAAAAACGTATGAAATATTTGATAAAAAATTTAATCGGAGCGGTTTGGTAAAAAAGTAGTAGAAACATGTCTCCTACAAATATTTTGGTAAGAAATTGGTCAAAAACTACCTTCAGCTTTTCTACGAAATTCCTATTAATATCGATTTTCTGCGGAACATTTCCAACAAACTATTTTTATAGGAAAATGGTAGAAAAACCTATTTCCTATAACTTTCCTACATTTTCGGCCTTAGGAACACTATGGCGACGGAAAAGGTGACGCTAGGGTTATAGCCTGACAATGCGATTTGGTTCTGCGGTCTTCTTCGGTTGATCTATGCGGTTAATTGGGTTTCTCAGTGGTGGATCTGGGTGACTGTGATGAGGTTTTCACGGTGGCGAATGGAATTAGGGCTATCGAGGTTAGCTTATGCGGTGAAAGTTTTACAATCGATTCAAGCTTTGGAATTAAGCTCTGTTCGGAGGAGAAGGACGGTGGGGATGAGCCTCGCCAGGTGGTTACCAAAATCACATACGTTCATGGGGTTAGATGCGGTGGGGAAGGTGATGGGTTTATTACGGCGGCGATGGGTAATTGCGATGAGCTTGCCGTGGCGGGTCCGTGTGACTGTTTCGAGCTTCCTTTGGTTTCTTTGGGTGGAAAGGATGATTTTGGTTCTGTCACATATGGATTCACGGAGGTTTTTGAGGCTGATTCAAGAGGGGTTAGGTTCTGGTCCGAATTTCTCTATGGTTTTAGCTTTTACTAGGTGGATTCCGGTTATTTGTCGATGGGTTTATGTCTTTAGTCCATTCATCGCTCATGATTTAGTTACATCTCTTAGTTATTGGCGTCTAATTGATCATGGGAATTATGAGTTTTGTGGTCTTTCAATCCGTCAATGGAGTGTAAGGATACAAGAAGGATTGGTTTTGTTGTTTACGGTAAAATTAAAGCTTAACAGTATGAGTTCGAATTTGTTATTGAGATTAAGGGGTGCGGAAGCATTCACTCATTATACAAAGGAATTTATTTTTGGTCGGAGTATAGTCTCAAAGACTGGAGATGACTTGGTCAAAGGTGGTTTCTTGGAGATTGCCCAATGGGGGAAAGATGAGTGTGGTTTCAAAAGCTCTTTTGGGAATTCCTCAAAAGTCAAGGAAAGGTTAAAGTCTGGTATAATAATTTCGGCTAATGATTGTGTTAATTTATTGAGGGAGATTCTGTGTAGGGGGTGCTGCATAAGTTCTCTAGAAGAACATGACTTCCAGTTTATCAGACTCATTGGTTTTTACTCGGTTAGTTTGAGAGTTTGTTGTAAGGCTTTCATCTTAGTCTTTTTTGTAGGGTTCAATTCTCAGATCTTATATGTATGCTATATCATCTGTGTTATTGAAATAATAATAAAAGAAAGGAATTATCCGGAAAAAAAAACATCTCCACATAGGAGATATGTCAAAAAGGGAGTGGAGCAGGTGACGGAAGGCAAGAACCCGAGGAACCAGGACATGGCGAAGGGTACAGCGGGTGGTGGCAAATCACCAAAACACAAGATTGATAAATGAAGGTTTTGAGTTGGAATTGTCAAGGACTTGGGAACAAGGCAACTATCGGTTATCTTCGGGACATATGGAAACAACACCGGCCAGATTTTTTATTTCTTTCGGAAACAAAACAATCTTCTTCGTTTATGGAAAAATTTATCGGTCATTTTGGTTACAAAAATTTAAAAACGGTTGATCCGATCGGTTTGTAGTGGCGGTTTAGCTCTTTATTACAATAATGATTTTAATGTATCTATTATTTTGAAAGTAATCGTTTAATCGATGTTGAGGCTGTGGTAAATGGGAAAACAATACACCTTACTTTTGTTTATGGTGATCCGGTTCCAAAAAATAGAGACCAAGTTTGGGAACGGTTAACACGGATCAGTTTGACTAGGGACACACCCTGGTTTTTAATAGGTGATTTTAATGAGTTAACCGGAAACCATGAGAAAAGAGGTGGTAATTTAAGACATGCATCGTCTTTTATCCCTTTTAATTTAATGATTCAAAATTGCGGTCTTTTGGAGTTCCCATACATCGGAGATTGGTTATCTTGGCGGGGTTGGCGGGATAAGAAACCAATACGGTGTCGTTTGGATAGAGCTTTAGCTAACGAAGATTGGCATGAATTATTCTGCAATTCTTTCGTTGAATATTTACCAATGGTAGCTTCCGACCACTCGCCGGTGGTAGCTACACTCATGGATAAGGTCCCACGTGGGAAAAGAAATTTTAGGTTTGATAAAAGATGGATCGGGAAGGAAGGATTACTCGAGGCAATTTCAAATGGGTGGAATTCGGACTCTGAATTAGGTGAGGGAAAATTTGTTGAAAAATCGACTAATTGTAGGCGGGCTATTTCGCAGTGGAGGAAAGATTTAACTCCCTATGGACGGCAAACAATTGAAGAGCTAAAATCGGAATTACTCGTGGCACAAAGAGATGATAGTAAACCACGGGAAGAGATTACAGATTTAACATTACGGTTGAAAGAGGCTTATCGAGATGAGGAGTTGTATTGGCATCAAAAAAGTAGGAGCTTTTGGATGAAACTAGGAGATAATAATTCAAAGTATTTTCATGCACTAACAAAACAAAGACGGGCAAGGAATCGAATAACGGGGCTACATGATGAAAACGGAAATTGGTCTATAGAGGATAAGGATATTCAAAATATAGCGGTGTCTTATTTTAAGGGACTGTTTACTACAACTAAGCCCGAGGCTTTTGAGGAATCTTTGGCAGAAGTTCAAACTCTGATTACGGAACAGATTAATAATTTTTTAACGGCACCTGCAACGGAATGTGAGGTGAGAACGGCTTTGTTTATGATGCATCCGGAAAAAGCGCCAGGTCCTGATGGTATGACAGCTTTGTTTTTCCAAAAGGCTTGGGTTACCATTAAAACAGACCTTCTTTTTTTGGTCAACTCCTTTTTAGAGGATGAAATTTTTGATAAACGGTTAAATACAACTAATATTTGCTTGATTCCAAAAACGGAAAGACCGACACGGATGACGGAATTACGGCCTATCAGTCTTTGCAATTTTGGGTATAAAATTATATCGAAAATTCTTTGTCAAAGACTTAAGACGGTACTACCAAAACTGATTTCGGAAACACAGTCGGCTTTTGTAGAAGGACGATTGATTTCGGATAATATTCTCATCGCACAAGAGATGTTTCATGGGTTGAGAACTAACCCTTCCTGTAAAGGAAAATTCATGGCAATTAAAACGGATATGAGTAAGGCTTATGATAGGGTGGAATGGATTTTCATAGAGAAGGTTTTGAGAAAATTGGGTTTCTGTGAAAAATGGATTAAATGGATAATGTGGTGTATTACAACGGTCCAATATAGAGTTCTCCTTAATGGACAACCTAGAGGACTAATAGTACCAGAGAGGGGTTTACGACAAGAAGACCCGCTCTCACCTTATTTATTCATCCTTTGCACAGAAGTGCTAATTGCGAATATTCGGAAAGCTGAACGGGAAAAATTAATTACGGGTATCAAAGTAGCAAATGCAAGCCCTTCGGTTTCACATCTGTTATTTGCGGATGATAGCTTATTTTTTTGCAAGGCCAACAAGGATCAGTGTGGGGTAATTTTGGGAATTTTAAAGAAATATGAAGCGGTCTCGGGACAGCAGATTAATTTTTTAACATCCTCGATTCAGTTTGGACATAAGGTAGATGATGATATCAAGGATGAAATCAAATCTACCTTAGGTATCACTAATATCGGTGGTATGGGTTCTTATCTTGGATTGCCGGAGAGCTTAGGAGGATCCAAGACAAAAATCTTCTCTTTTGTTAGAGAGAGACTACAAACAAGGATTAACGGATGGTCGGCAAAATTTTTATCAAAAGGGGGAAAGGAAGTGATGATTAAATCGGTAGCTGCGGCATTACCAACTTATGTTATGTCATGCTTCAGACTACCTAAAACAATCACTTCTAAACTTACTAGCGCAGTTGCTAATTTTTGGTGGAGCTCAAATGGTGATTCCAGAGGTATGCACTGGATGGCTTGGAACAAATTGTGCAATAGCAAATCGGAAGGGGGTTTAGGATTTCGGAATGTTGACGATTTTAATTCAGCTTTACTTGCAAAACAATTATGGCGGTTGATCACGGTTCTAGATTCTCTTTTCGCAAAGGTGTTTAAAGGACGATATTTTAGGAAATCCAATCCTTTGGAAAATATAAAATCATATTCTCCATCATATGGATGGCGGAGTATATGTTCAGCTAGATCTCTGGTTAATAAAGGACTTATTAAAAGAGTCGGATCTGGGACATCCATCTCGGTTTGGGAGGATCCCTGGATTCCAGCTCAATTCCCGAGACCAGCAAAAAGTAATGGTTCAGTAGCTGACCCATCTTTAAAAGTTAACGATCTTATAGATCGTCGGACGAACTTTTGGAATATTGATCTCTTAAAAGCGATCTTTGATCCAGAAGATGTCGCGCTAATAAGCGCCATACACGTGGGTGCGCCAACAAAGGAAGATTCTTTGGGTTGGCATTTTACAAAATCCGGAAAATATACAGTCAAATCGGGATATCATACCACTCGGTTAGAAAAGCTGGAGACCAATTTAACCTTTTTTGGCCCTGATATCAACCCGTTAAAAGCACATTCTTGGCAAGTGCACTGTCCACCTAAGATACGCCACTTCTTGTGGCAAATCTTAACAAGTTGTGTACCGGTTACAGAAAATTTGCGGAGAAGAGGAATTGATTGTGACACGGGCTGTGCCAGATGTGGCGCACCTGAGGAAACGATCAATCATACCCTCTTTCAGTGTCATCCGGCACGACAGATTTGGGCGCTTTCACAGATTCCTACGGCTATTGGGATTTTTCCCACAGAATCTAATTTTGCGAATTTGGATCACTTATTTTGGAGAATACCTTCAGAATTTGATTCGTCAGCCTTCCCGTGGATTATCTGGTATATTTGGAAAGCAAGGAACGAAAAAATCTTTGAAAACATAGATACAGACCCAATAGAGGTATTACGATTAGCGGAAAAAGAGGCACAATTGTGGCAATCAGCTCAAATTGAGCTCCATAATGAAAATCATGGTTATGTGGATTTGGTAAATCGAATTCGAGTGAGGGATGTTTCACTTGAATCGAATTATTCCGGATACCGTTGTTTTGTGGATGGATCATGGAAAGAAAGTGACAAGTTCTCCGGTACAGGGTGGTTCTGTACATCGTCAAATGGAGAGCCGCCAACCATGGGAGCTGCGAACCTCCGTAGAAGTCTATCTCCACTACATGCCGAAGTCGAGGCCCTTCTCTGGGCGATGAAGTGTATGATTGGTGCAGATAATCAAGAGGTAGCGTTCTTTACAGACTGTTCAGACCTGGTGAAGATGGTGTCTTCCCCAACCGAATGGCCGGCGTTTTCAGTGTACTTGGAGGAATTTCAGAGCGACAAGGAGGAGTTTTCATCTTTTTCTTTATCTTTAATTTCTCGTAGGGCTAATGTTAAAGCGGATAATCTGGCACGAAAAGTTCGTACAGAACCGCTTCATATCACCTATGTAAACAACATTCCTCAGGAATGGCTCTTTTGAGCTTTAATTAATTTCGGATGACAAAAAAAAAAAAAAACACTATGGCCATGAATGTTTGGGAGATTTTAGAGGGTTTTTAGATTTTAGATTTTAGTTTTTAGTTTTTAGATTTTAGATTTTGTTTTTGGTTTTTGGATTATGTAAAAAAAATGAAAAATTGAAAAAAAAAATCACGTAGTGGAAATTCTCAAAAACCCATTGAAATGAGATTTTGGATTTTGTTAAGGAATTAGTAAAAACTCTTAGAATCCAGATTCTCTATTTTTTGGGGAAACCATTTTTTCAAAATCTTGAATGGTTAAAAAATGGATTATTTGAAAAACTAAAA